CTCATACACCAATCTGGAAGTTCTACTCACGCAGCATACTTACTGCATACAGGTAACTGTGTATACTATTGTTTTATGCGTGTGTGTGCCAACGTCACAACTTCCTACGCAGGCCATGGTCACGGTTCCTGTCCTCAGATGTTTTTACATTGCCCGACGAAAACACCCAAAGGTCGTCCCTCGAGAAATACATCTGTTCGTCGCAGTATTCACCATTCTGCCAGCTAGCACAGCCCGCAACACCCCCAAGCAAGACAAAGATACTTTACTTCGAACAATTGCCACCTAGGAAAACTTGCCGGACTCTGCTAGACTGCAGCCCGGCAGGTACCAACAGTTCTTTCTTTGGAGAGGGTTGCCCAAAAAAAAACAACAAACAAGGCGCCCTGTCTCCCATGGCCGGTTCTATGTGCCACGGCTAGCGGCCACGCTTACATGTGGTAGGTGGTGCAAGTTGAAGGTTGAAATTTGTCCAAAGATATGTTGGTTGGTGGGCACAAAGTCCAATGACAAACTTGTTGGGCTCGGTAAACATCAACCTCGGTAAACATCAACCCCACCCCCACCCCAACAAAAAAAAAGAATCAACCTCTGCAAAAAGTGGTTGACTTGGTGTGGGTTTAATGGAACCGCCTTGATTTCCCAAAAAAATGAGTCTAAGGATCCAAGGATTCGGTCAGAAGAGGCGCGAGGCTCGATCCCCCCGCGGCTCTTTCCGCGCCTCTGGAACTCCCCGCACCACCCAAGGCCTCGCACCCGTCGGTGATTGATGGGGTGGCTTTGATTTCTACCCTGATAAGAATTGCCTTCCACTTGCTTATGCCCCCTGACAAAAACGAAAAAGAAAACAAGATATGTCCAGTGATAAATCCCCTTCAAAACCAACAAGGGAAAATAATATAATATTCTTAAGCAAATGGAAGGTGCTTGTTACATTCTAAGGCGGCCACGCTTCTAGGGCTTTGCAAAGGGCGCAAGAAGAGCCCCCTTTAGCCAACCGAAGTCGGAACAGACATGATTACAACCAGTGGACCCTGTCTCTCAACTGATTCATCTCCTCGGGACCAAACGAGGACAAGGCCTACTAGTCCTCATATGTCATGGAAAGTTGTGATTAAAGGAGGCTACCCGAAACCAATGGTAAATAATGAGAAGGGCGAACCCTGTGTTTGGCCAACACGTTTCTTAAACATGTTGACACCATCTGTTTACACAGATTCCTTTGGATTGTCTTGCAAAAGGGTGGCTAGGGTCTGGTCGTTTAAACAAACTTTGGTGACGCTGCGAGCGGTGATGCTGTGAGCGGTGTTGCTTTTGTGAACATCACTCATTTTTCAAACATAGAAACAGGTCCCGTTGCAGCAAAGCAACTGCAGTTGAACATGAGTGATTATTTAATGAGGAAAGATATCGATCTTAAGCTAGGATTCAAATAAGAGCTTCTTGCAACATAGGATGTTGACTTAGACTAATAGAAAGGGAGTTGCATGATTATTGAGTTGTTGTTGCTTTTTCACTCGTCTTTAGGGGCAGGTGAAGAGACCAATAATGCCGTCTGTATCAAGTTCAAACAAACAAAACAACAAACACCATGGCATCGAACAAACAACAACAACCAACCATCTGGCAGGAGTTTCTTGGCATACCAGGTTCTGCGACCAAAACACCCATCTTCCCAAGCCGGCTTTGACGACAGGCGCCAACCCCCTTGCCCCCCCCAACTTCAAAGTTGGACACTCCCTTGTGAACAAAGCCTGCGGCAAAAACGCCCATGCTGGCTTAAGATGTCACCGTGCTCCTTGACAAGATTGAAGTTGGGCGGCTAGCGGGGTTCGTGGGGAAGATAGTTGGGCGAGAGCAGATGTGCATTTTTAGCAGAAACCGGTATGAACAAGTGCAACCATCTCTCTTGCCAGGTCTTTCTACTGCTTTGTTGTTTACTGTTGTCCACCGATTTCTCGATATGTTTTCGGCTTCGGATGTGTAAGGGATCAAAGCTTAAACAGTTCCTTTGTCAGATTGGCTTGTTTGTTTCCATCAAGATCCTTTGGACATGAATTCCTATTCCAAAACAAACATAATTCGCAACAAACAAACACCCAACACTAAACAAACAGTCTGGCACGGCAAATTCTTGGCAGACGGTAAATAGCAACCCAGCAAAACAACAACAACAAAACAACGAGAATCTCGGGGGAAACAACAAAACAAACATCTGGCGGCGAACAAAACCTGGTACATGAGCAGGACGTTAACCTGTCCTTTTGTTTGTTTGTTTGTTTGTTTGTTTGTTTCGATTTCTTGTTTTTCAAGATTTGTCAGTGAACAAACCACAAACATCTCTTTGGCGTATTGTTGTTTGTTTTGTTTGTGTTTGTCGATTTATTGATGTTCTGTATTTGATTGAATATGTTTTACAGCTTTTCGGTTGCAAACATGTATGCGAGACGTGAAAAGACACATTTCCTGGAGCAATCGCTTTCTTCGTCGATTTCTCGATGCCATTTTTGGATTCAATCTCAGAAGATCAGAAGCCAAAGAAAAGTGGTTGGGCCCAAAATCCGCCACCTCCCTGGACATGGAAGTTGCGGATCGCCAACACCACCAAAATACAGCATGGAGCAGCAGCCGAAGGATTTGGAGTCCAAATTTCGGCATTTTTAGTGAGGATTTGGAAGAAATAGAGTGAGTCCAATGGTCCAACCCCAAATGGCTCATAGACAAATTCTGACACAACCTCACATGGGTGTGGGTCAAAAATAGGTACCCAAAAAATCGAACCCTGGTAAACATGAGTTGGGCCCTAAGACTTCTGGCGGTGCCATTGTTTCGGGCTTCGATTCGCATCCCTGAGACAAGCATCGTCACATCACAGAAACCGGTGACACGATCCTGAGCTGCCCGCGACAAGTCCAGAGCGAAGGAGAAGGCGACCGCGTATAGGCCATCTGTCCAACGCGCCGTTGCCGGAAAACACGGGGATTCCCCTCGACACCTGTTGAACCTTGAGGCCTTTGGAGGCAACCCACAAAACGCCGGAAATATATCCTTTTCACACCATCCAAGAGCTACAGTGGCCCAGTCCGGACCCAGAAATAGGAGGTGATCACGCTTTGGTTCCATGTCTAAAATTGGACCAAATCAGGGAAACCAAAGTGGTTAAAAGGTCGATTCGCTGTGGGCAGGTGAGAAAGGACAAACACAAACACACGCACACACACACACACACACACACACACAAACAAACAAACACGCTTGTGTTCAAAGCTTGACAGGCCTCGGAAACAACAGACACTAACAATAAAACACAGGAAAAAACGCTCTCTCGGTCCGCCTCGCCAAAAGAAGGAGCCCGGAAAGTTGTTGGAGACCGGCAAGTAGCCTGTGACCTGAGATCCCGACGTACGGCTCAAGGCTCAGGTTCTGTGAGCTCGCTTTGCTGAACTAGGTCCTCCAGATTTGAGAGGTTCGAATAAGGGTACCCGATGTCTTTTTGTTTCTCCGTGTAGTCTATGTTAGTAGGGGAACCCTCCCCCAAAAAAGAAACGGTAAAAGTTGGCACCTAGCTGGGGGACCTAGGCTCGCTTTCCTTAAAGCAGGAACGGGACAAAAAACAAAACAGCCGCAAGTTTTCTCTGGGATCGATCTGGGCCAAAAGGCCCGGATGTTTGCCTAAGAGCCCTCCCTCCCCCCCCAAGTTGCAGCGCCCACATGGGAAGTCTAAAGCCTGAAAACAAGATAGGGTCATCCAGTCGCGAAAAATCCAACAAAGGAGTATAATTGTCACCCACCACGTATAACGAGTTTTGGTTGTTTGCCAAGTTGAAGGGCCGTCCAGTTTTCAGACCTCTCCAAAAAGGAATCCTTCTTCATTCTGCATTAGCAAGCAGCCCAAACAAACGCGGCGTGCCTTTTTGGGTACTTGTACGCTTTGGGACCCGCCTCGGATAGACGCCCGCCTCAGGCCCACGCTCGCAGCTCCACTTGCTTTGGCTGCTGGTTAAAGGCCTTCGACCCGAGTCTCGTCGGCAAAACACGGCGCAGCCGTTGATTCCTTCAGCCATGTCCTTTTCGGGTGACTACAAACAGGCAGAACCAATTCTCTCTCCGGTGAACCAATGTTTTGTCAGTGTTGCAAAATGGAGCACCATTGAGAACCATCAAACAGTAAGGGAAAAAAGGGTAGCAAAACCCTGAATGTTTTGTTTTTTTTTTGAACCCAAGTTAAGAGGTTTGGAGGCTCCAGCATTCCAGGTTCTGCCCGCCATGGACACACGGCTAGCTTGACCAGGCTTAGACCCACAGCGCTCAAGTCTGACACTGTTGCCAATATATTGATACTTGAATGGCTTTGTCCAAACAAGGACGAGCTTGAGTGACGCTTTTTCACAGACTAAGATGACTTCAACGATTCGTGTATGTGACGAACTGGAGCCGGGTTACCCCAAAAGTCGTGGCTCTCCTGTTGGTTTCCCTTCAAACCTCAACAAAAATCGCGGCCTCCCCGGTCCTTAGCTTTGACGCAGCCATATAGCTGCCTCATCGTTTTCAAGGGACCTCCCAAAATGGATACGGCTTCCCTTTAAAACCCACCGCAAAGAAGGGTAACTCGAAACATAAGACCTGCCATTGGGCTCCCACCTCAAGGAACACGTCCTCCTCGGACTGCTCGGCCTTGCTTAAGGCCGGAGGCCCAGGTCCGGCGCTGGTCTGCTTTTCTTGCGGGTTCTCAGCAAATGAGAAATGGAACGACCCGACAAAACCATCCCCGATTTGGTAAAGCCTTTAAGGGAATTAAGTTTGTTTCCGGTTCATCAAGTCTTGTCTGGTTTCTTCTAGTACTTGACCAATTGAAGCAAACCACTTGATTGCAAGGACATCTAGCCACTCTCTCTCTCTCTAACTCTCTCTGTCTTTCTTTTGGCCGAGCAGCACGAGTTCTATGGATCCCTTCTGCGAGTTCTAGCGCTTGACTTTGAAGCTCTTACTGGCCCACTGGCTCACTGATCAGCGATTGGGGAAGTCGCACTTGCGTATCCACTCAAGCTCGCGGACACCGTCTTCACCAGCCCTCGTGGCTGGTTCACGGCGTTGCCGCGCAGCACGCCCATCATGTAGGCCAAGAGCTGTAACGGCAGAACTGCCAAAAGCGGCATCAAATACTCATGGGTCTCAGGAACCGCGATGACATACCTCAGGTTTTCCCCGAAGCTAAGGGAAATCCAACCCAGTGCTTCAAGGCAAGCCGCTATAGTATGTGAAACCTAGATGTAAGAATACCTGGTTACTTGCTTTAGTGGTAACTGGAAGCACTGGGCAAGAGTTTCCAAACGATTCTGAGACTTAGCATCTTTGAAACCTATGGAAGTGTTTTTCTCATCCAAAGACAAGCAATGTCCTAGGTGAACATGTTGAATGATGAACCAAACTCAAACCAGTGGAATCCATATGCACCATTGCCGTGGTCAACACTCCTGATGTGAGCAATTAAACGGCCCCCAATTTTAGTTTCCCCCGCCCCCCCCCCCCCCCCCGCACAAAGGGAAACAGCCAAACACAAGGGCAACTGAAACAACCTGAATTCAGCTGAGGTACTCGCAAAGTGTCTCCAGCTCGTCGTTACTCCTCTCAGTAATGGCGATGGTCGCACCTTTCCTCGCCTTCACTTCCTCGATATTCGACTTGATCTTCTCATAGGTGGAGTCTGCTTTTGGGCACACCACCACCTTGCAACTCAGCACCCCTCCAATTATTTCGTTGGTGGTTTGGAGGTGGCTTGGAGGTTAGAGCCGATTCCCAATTTACCCTCAACAAGACCCAGGATTGAACCCCAAACCACTCCAAACCACTAAGGGTTGGTTGCATTGGCCATCGAAAAGCCAACAAATAAAAAACAATGCAAATTGGGGAGAGACACAAGCTATCTTGAAGAGTCACCCGTCATGTTGTTCTGTTGTTTGCTTTCACATCATTGGGGAAACTACCAAGCCAAAGCTGCATACGTGCACCCATCAGGCACAAAGCAATCGCCATGATCATCATAATCATCATGATCATCATCACCATCATCATCATCATCACTACCACCACCACCATCACCACCATCAACATCACCATCTTCATCAGCAGCAACATCATCGTTGTCATTAACAATCATCAGCAGCCGTACCATCATCATCATCATCATCATCATCGTCGTCGTCGCCGTCGTCGTCATCATCACCATCACCATCACCATCACCATCATCATCGCCGTCGTCATCGTCGTTATCATCACCGTCACCATACCATCACCATCACCATCACCATCACATCACACTCATCAACAAAACGGGCAAACACATGAATGTGGCATGACTACTCACTGCTCACCTTGAAAAAAACAGCGCAAACAGCACCACAACAAAAAAAAACGGCAGGCTCAATTGCACCTGGCCGCCACCGGCATGAATTCGTCGATCAGGGCAATCGGCCCGTGCTTCATCTCCGCCGCCGGATAGCCCTCTGCATGGATGTAGGCGAGCTCCTACAGTGGTTTTCGCCCTGAGGTCATTTTTCTGACCCCCTGGATTGCTACAAGGACACCCTACAAGGACTTACAAACGGTGTACGTGGGGCCTTCTGGGGCTTAACTCCTGGACCATAAGCGGCCATAGCCTAAGCACCCGTAAATGATTATGAACCACCATCTGGTTTCCACCAAACGAAGCTGGGCGGACGAAAAACCGAGAGGGTGGCCGAAACAAAATGCGCATCCCCGCTTTAGGTGTTCTGCTGGGAATCCGAGCAAACGACCAGAAAGCACTATCATGGAGAAGATTCACTTCGCAGGTGAGTGGCATGGACATTGTCCATGTCAAGAACGCCCAGTTTATTGATCTTATTGCGGAGGGGTTCGGGGGGGTCCCAAAGAAGTCTGAACTGCTTACTTTCCACCAAACGGGTCTTCCCAACAAGTGAAACACCATCAACTCAGGGTGTGAGAAATGGCGCCTTTTTTTCTTGGTGAAAATGGCACAGGGCCCCTCATCAACTCCTTGCACTTCATGGCCCCCTCCAGCGCCACTGGGAAGTTCAAACCGCGGCCGAGGAAGATGAAGTTCTGGGCCAAGACGTTCTGGCAGCTGATGTCCCACAGAGGGCACTCCCCGATCCTCGAATCTGAAAAGGAACTTATGACATAAAGACCAACCGCGAAGACCCAAATCTTGGAAAGTGCCCAAGAAAGGCAAATGAGTCCATTGCCACATTTGGGCTCAAGGCCCGTCTTGTGAGAATCATAGTATTCACGCCATCACGAGAAAGAAAGAAAAAACAAATATATATATATATATATATATATGTGTTGGGTTGTTAAAAAAAAAAAAAAAAAAAAACGGACCAACCTAGAACAGTATCCCAATGGGACGACCGGAGGTCTGCGCCAGGGGTTTGGCCTCCTTCTCCAGCACCTGCTGCCTTGGCTTTCGGATTCTACGCAAAGTAAAACAAATAAATATGGCTGTGGGTCAAACACATGTTCAAAAATGGCACCTTGGCAAATGGAACCAAAGACTCCAACCTGTGTAACCCTAGCTCTTTAATTTTGAGCCACAACCATATAGTTAGACGGATTCGACGGATTCCACCAGATGCCTTTTCAGAACAAATTCTCAGAACCGAAATGCAGGGCTCCTGAAAGGTCTGAGAACCATGGTCGGGAGGGGGCTACTGATGGTCCGACGGAGGCAACTTCTTCCGTTGCTTTTTGGCCCACTGGACAAAAAATAGAAAATATGTCCAGTGGATTTTCCAGTAGTGATAGGTTCCCTTCAAACCAACAAGGGATAACATAATATATTCTTGAGCAAGGGAAGCAACTAAAGGCTCCCGAGGAAAGCATTTGGAACCCTGAGGCTCTTGGAAGGGCTCTGAGAACCGCGGCTGGGGAGCTAGTGACTGGCCCTAACTTACAAGGGGAAGGGTTGGCTTTCGCAGGATATGATGGACACCCGGAAGGGCCTAGGGCAACAAGACCCTCCTCAAAAAACAACATCATCATGAAGCAACCAACTGGTGCCCAAACAGGGCAAAATAGCGGGAGACCACAACTTCAGGCGCTTTCCTGCAGGTTTCTGTTGGTTTCCCGATTGGTTTCCTTTCGTTGTCTCAAACCGCTTGGCGGAAGAAAAAGAAAGAAATAAAAAAAACGACGCCCACACCACCGCTGAGGGGTCAAGCACGGCTGCATGGCTTCCGGCAGTTCCTGCAGGCGCCGCAGGAACTCCGAGATCTCGGGCTCCGACATGGTGCCGCACTCCTGGCGAATGCGAAGACGCCGGACGCCCAGCACTCAGATGCCCGGTGGACTTCCAAAAAAAGGCCGTCCTTTTTTGGCTGGTCGACTTTAAAGGGGAACCCTTCCCAAAAAGAAAAGAAAAAAGGGGGCACCACTGGGCAACTGGGAACATGGTGGTTTTTACATCATTCATGTCTGGATTTGTGCCCACCTATTATTCTGTAGTGTGCTTCCGTAAGAGGGCATCCAAAACAACAAAACGCATCTTGACCCGCCATAGTCACACACACACACACATTTCCCGAGTGGATTGGCCAAACAAAAGTCCCACGAAAATCGTATCAAGTGCAGCACCTCTTTTCTGTGTCGGATGGCCCGGCCAAAGGAAACAACGCCTAGGAACTCAGGAAGTGAGTTGGAACCCACGTAAGGGTGAAATGCTCTGAACCTGTTGACTGATTCTCATCCACAAACCACAAACGGGGCTATGAATTCAATAGAGAACCACCTAAGTGGTGGACTCCAAATAGAAAACCCCACCCAAATGATCTAAAGGATCCGGGACCCATGAAAAAGTGAATCCCATCGATATTTCCAGACGCCGGTGCTCCTCTTTTCGTTCTTTGTGTGGTTGGCTTAGCTACTTTTCAGAAAACCTGAATCATGGGGGATGGGGGGGGGGGTGGGGGGGAGGGAGCCCTAAATCACCCCCCTTCAGGCCTTATTTAGGGGCTCCTCCCAGCCCCCTTCCCGCCATCCCGCATGACTGAACCCCAGCCACTCACGGAACATGATGATACTGTGGATGGACAAAATCCGTTCGCACCACTTGGCAACCATGGCTGAAACCATAACGTTCCTGGAAAGCCGTATGGCCATTTTTTTTGGACGGAACCCATATTTGGATCGTTTTTCCCGTATGGTCATTTTTTGCTAACCGGTGGCCGTATTTGGCCGTATGCAACCCGTATTTTTTCAACAAATTGTTGTCAAAAAGCCGTAAATGACCGTATGGTATTTTTTTATGGCTCAAGGCGTATGGACAGAAAAAATCGTCATATATGGGTTTCCAGGTTTGTTGGTATTTACGTTGGGGAATCGAATCCGACACAAGGCTTTCTTAGGTGCACACATTTTTCAACCATCCAGAAAGGGTTTCTTGTTCAACGTTGACCAAACCGTGCCAATTTGCAGGTCTCTGAGGTGGTGCGGAACGAATTTCGCAACCATTCACAGTGGGCGACCCCTTGCTGAGGCTCCATGGCCAGCGCGAGGCTCAAGAGCTCGAACATCATGATGGTGGCCTCGTGGGAGAAAACTCGACAAAGCTCCAACACCCCTGGAGCTTCCAAACCAGGGGGGTCCTTTGTTTGCCACCTATTTTGTGAGAGCGGGTTCCTTTTGTTTGCCACCTTTCGTGAGAACAATTGTGCGACCCCCTCAAAAAGGAATCCTTCACTGTAGGAGGGGGTCGATCATTTTTGCAACAAAAGGTGTTGCAAAACGACCCCCCTGCCTGGAACTTCCTGGAATTGTCCGGATCCCTCCCTGAAAGCTGCAAACCACCCCGAACGATCCTATCTGGGCAGAGACCCCGTAGCTTTGGGGAACAACGTATGAGTGTCTTTGGTAGGCCCCCACAATGGTGGCTGTTCTTTTGGTTTTCCTTTGAAACCACAAGAAAGGCATCCTCCAAAAAGACAAATGGACTTCAGCTTTCATGATTTGAACCAGCCTAAAACAGGGCCATCCAAAAAATACAGACCAATATGAAGCACAGTCAACGTGGATTGCGTCCCTCATGATATACGGGTGGTACTTCGTTGAGTGTGCCAAGTGTTATTACGTAGAGCACCTTAGAGGATGGTGAATCTTGACCACTGAAATAGGAACAGGGTAAAAGTACGCACGACGCAGAACTGCAAGCAAACAAACAACTTTTGGGAAGTGTGTCCAATTCACCAAGGAAACCGGTCCCAAACCTATTCCATGTGGCCGGGCTTGTCTCATGAGGCACTCCAAAAAAAAAGGTCTGCTGTCCCTTGGAAACCGGCTTTAGACCAGCAACAAATACCCCCCAAAAAAAAAACAGGGAACCCACAGCTTACCTGTTTCTGTAGGTTCTTCGGGGAAACCTTGCGAAGTATGGGTGGAACATCTATATTTCCCAACGGGCTTGCAGGGAGCCTACAAAAAGAGGGGCGTTGGCTTCCCAATTTTGGCAACTCCGTTTGGCTTGGACAGATTAGGAATCAAGACTGACTGATGCCTTAGCCATTCCCAGAAGGTGAGTCATGCACGGTGATTCCCGCAAGGTGCCTCCAAAAACATTGGGATTGCATACATTGGGAAACCATTTCAGCGTTAAACACCAGAGGACATTGTTACTCAAGCGCAACTTTGGGGCCTGGAAATAAAATATTCACCTTTGGATACCTTTGCGAAAAGACTGGCCTAACAAAAGCCACACACACAGACCTGTCATGGACCAACAAAGGGGAACCCGAGGGCCCTCCGCACTTCGATTCGAATTTCGAATCCGCGTGGCAGAGAAGCCTTTGGTGGAGGCCACACCGATCTCCACGCCCGCCTATGGATGTCTGGGGTTACTTTAAAGGTTACTTTAAAAGGAAAGGTTAACGGGAGAGTACTATCCCCAGCTGCGTTTTCCGGTTTCCCATTCGGTGGAGCGCCTTCTGATAAGTTCAAGGCCACCCTGCTCCCCCCCAAAAAAAAGGAAGCGACCCACTGCAGGTCCACGAGCACATAAAACAAGACCTAAGCATGGCAGACAGAGAAAAAGGTGAAGAACCCCACCGGAAACTGATGGTTCACGACTCCGAAGTTTGCATCCTTCCAAGTAGAACTAGGAAATCATTGGTAAAAACCTCCAAAAACGGCGCCTGGACGTTGATCACGAAGTCACTTTCCCGGGCCAAGGTCGAGGAGGGCTTGTTGACAACCGCACAGGTGAGCACTTTGTCACCGTTCCCGCCACTGCGCACCTGTTGACCGCGGTTTTGGGTGCGGCTAGGCGAAAGGACAACTCAGTTGCCCAAAGGACCCAGAAATATAACCCTTTGGGGCAATAATTTAATTTGGACCAAATCAGGGAAAAAGTTCAAAAGGTCGGCTTTGGGCAACCCAAAGAAAGGAAACAAAAGGAATTGCACAGGCTTCTTAGGGATCTGGAGTATCTGTCGCCACTCTGCAAACTCACGGAAGGGCTCCGACGGAGCCCTGGTTCTTCCCGGGAAATTTGGAGGGTAGTTGTGTTGGAGAAAGGGCAATAGAAATTGAAACATAATTGTTGATTTGGGCGTCTCAAGATGCGGGACCGCCAAAAAGTGTCCTTTTGAAACAACCCCAACGGGTACCCTTAAAAATACGCACCCGTACAAACAACACCAACCAACAATCAACAAACCGCTAACTGGCCCAAAAAGCAGTCAAAAAAAGAGAGCGAATCCTGACCCATTTTTGCTCAAGTAATGTTTAACCCCCCTCCCTCCCCCTTTTTGGGGGAAACTTCAACTGAACCTCGGACCATCGAGCTTGGTAAAGGAACGGAATATCCCTTCTTGGGGCCCTGTCTGCCCTTTGATTCTTTGTGACTTCGAAACGTACACATTACCCTCCCACCAATGAACATGGAGCCTGACGTTCTTTTGGGGGTCCTGGTTTGGACCATTTCCTTTGGAAGGGACCCCTGACAGGTTTCATGTTAATTGCTGGGAGGGCAATGGATTTCTCGGGTTTGCTCGTGGATTCACAATATTCAGTAGAAGAGTCCCAACCTACCTCATGGGAAATATATCACCAGTTCTGTGATATCAAAGTAACATCACAGAAAATGACCCTAGTACCAAGTTCACACCCCCCATGACATAAGTTTGTACCGAACCCGGCACGTATCCTTTTGCTTTACCTTGTACAACCCCAAATGGTACCCTCAAAAACACACAACCGCACGCGCACACACACACACACCCATGCCCTGCCTTGCGAAGGCTTTCCACTGCATCGGTGGTCTCCCCAGACATGGACACAACAAAGACCACGTCCCCGGCGCGTAGCGCGGCATCGCGGTATCTGAACTCTGAGGCATAGTGTGCCTCCACCGGTATCCTCGCCAGGGTCGGCCTTTGGTGAACCAAGTGGTTGTTCCTTTCGTGCTCAGGTGGATTCCCTAAAAAAGGGACACAGTCCCCCATGGGTGCTATATATACAAAAAAACTAAATCCAAATGGTCAGGTAGATCATGGGGGGGGAAAGGGGGTGAGACTATGCATACATGTACATGTGTAGCGTCCCTCCCTCTCCAGCCACCCATAGTCATGTCATACAGGTAGGCCCCCCCCAGCCCCTGTGCAGAGTTGGTTCAGGATGGGGTTTAGGGTTGATTTAGGGTTGTTGTTATTTTTCCGCATGCTCCTGTGGTTGGTGTTGGTTTAGGAAAATTTTAAGGTTGGTTTGGGGTTGGTCGTTTGGGGTTGGTCGTTTTGGGTTGGTTTAGGGTTGGTTTGAGGTTGGTTGAAGGTTGGATTGCTCAGGTTGCGAAGGGACCATACCGTCGGGGCCGAGGGGGGGGGGGGGCACGGCATTAATATATACATATATGCTTGATCTACCGCTTTTGCGCCATCTGCACTACAATCTGGACCATCTGCGGGCACAAATCAGTTGTGTGTCTCAATGTACAATGTTCCATCTGCAAGCCAAACAGTCAGCTCTGTCCGTGTTATGTCACATCGGCCCAACATAATTGCATCCTGCTGATTAAACTCTTCGCAAGTTCCGATTCAAATTGATGTGAGAACCAATGTGGAAAGGAATTCATATTCGAATCAAAGTTGCAAATAGCAACTCAGATTAGACTCCTTCCAATACATCCTCCTTGAACTATTATACAACCACAGTCAACCTTGGAAAGGAATGCCTTTCTGACCCCTCATTCAAAACAGACAAATTATCATTATTGCTTGTTTTTTGCTGTTCACATTCTATTAAATCAGAAATATAAAGTCCTGGTTGGCATACGGAACCTTGTAAGGAGCCTTGCGAGGTACTGTATAAGGAGCTTTATTCACTTGCAAGTCATTGCGAATTATTCCTGTCTGTGTTCTGTTGCATCTGCAAACTTAAACCAACCCCTTTCTATTTTCAACTAGAATTATAATAACATGTTCATCTTTATTGAGCACAATAAAAACATTCTATCGAAACACAGTTTTCACATGGAAGTCATGGTTGGAAAGTTTTTTCTTTGAAGTCTCATTCTGAATTGTGTGGTTCATTAACTTATGTGCAAGCTGCTTTTGCAATCAGCATCCTATTTGGTGTAAGGAGCCTAAAAGGCGTTACAGCTAGCCCTACAAGGAGCGTTGTACAGAGCCGCGTTAGAAGCTTTAAAGGGAACCGAGCTTTACAAATGCGCCTTGCAAGGAGCTTTGTAAGGAGACTTGTAAGGAGCTTTTCAGGAGCCTTGGAAGAAGCCTTATAAGGAGCCTTATGAGGCTTGAGTGACGCATTTCAAGCCAGCTGTTGAGTTCTGCTTTAAATTGAACATCTATTTCAACTCTGCCCTTCTTGAATACTATTAAATCTCATCTTTAAATCGAAGTCCTATTCTCTAACAGAATACTTTTTCAGTCTGATCTAGATGAAGGCCGCTGACTGCGCTGATAAGAGTGTTCAAACGAAGCAAGGCGTGTGCATGTATGGTCACACCTTCGACAAGAACATAAGCGAGCAAATCACAACAGAACGGAAGGAACATGAATTTGTAAGGGATACTGTCGAAAACCTGAGGGGAAACCAACAACACAAAACACTTTGAAAAACAAACAAAAGCAAAACACGCATCTCCGGGGAAGAATCGTTGGTTCAGCCCCAAACTTTGTTTTCTTTTGATTTTCCCACATTTGTTTGGTTTGTTGACACTATCCCTCGAGGTATTGTTGGTTTTCGAGAAGGCCAGATTTCCACAAGCAAAAAAAAACGAGCCTTTTGTTTTGTGAGGGATAATGTCAAATATAACAAACACTGAGGGAACACAAAAACACCTTTGGAATTGTTGTGTGCTTTGGTTTTCTCGAAAAAAAATAGTGTGTTGTTGGTTTTCCCTCAGATTGTTTTTGACACTATCCCTCACAAAAAACAAAACAACGCCAGGTAGGTTTTTGGGTTTGTTGTTGTCTGTTTTCGGAGTTCCTTCAGATGGCCAATTCAAACTGGAATGCCTGCAGAGACCAGAATCGGGTCAGGGGTTTCGTACATTGAAGTTCCTGATTCTGCGTCTTAAATACGAGTATACAATTCAGTCTAGCATTAAAAATGCTTATGTTCAATACATACGAAATAATTAAAAAGACTTAAACACACAAAAGGTACGTAGATCATGAGAGGCTGATACGGAAACCAAAAGGAAAACCACCCACACACGTACACACGCACACACACACACACATCACCAAAAGGCAAAACTGGTGACTTGGCCAATCCATCTCCTCGCCATGTATTCGATGAGGTACTCAGCGAGCAGCGCCGAATGCCAGGACGTCCCCGAGCCAATCCTGAATTTCCCAATCTAAACGTTGGGCGATGGAAGTTGATATGCAGCCAAAACGGAAGCAGAAGGCATCTGGGTAGGGCCATTGCGACACATATGCCTTCAATCAAAGCTCGCGGGTATATAGCGGACGAAAGTACTCGTGGAAAACCTAAGCACAAATCCTGGTGACCTACTTTCCAGCTGGTTTTAGGCCTCTCTCACCAAAGCTCCAAGTAACATTCATCCATCTATTCTGTTTTATTGTCTGCTTAGATTATCATTCAACCATTCATTCATCAACTGTTCCATCTATGTATTGTTTGTTTGGTTGCAGATCTCTTTCCAATTATCTTACCCTAGGTCCTCCAGCAAAGAGGATAGAACAAGGGTATCCTGCTTTTTGTAGTCTATTTTATAATAGGGGAACCCTCCCCTTTTCGGAGTTCCGCGGCTTCCGAGCGGCACCAGGATCCTCCCGCAGAAGGCCTCCGTGATCCGCGCCTGGGACGAGGACGCCATGAGCTCCAGCGGCGTCTGCCCACCGAGTCGCGACAGCGGGGACCGGAGCTGCGGGATCTCCACAGCGCGGCCCTTCCTGCGACAAGCGCTCGGAGGTGTTTGTTGGTCCCGCCCCGGCGGTGTGAGTAGGCACGCTGGGATAGGTAAAGTGGATAATATATATATATACAAAATGTTGGACCAACGGCCAGGGTTTTGCCGTGTTTCTCCATAAGGTACCTTTTTTAGGGTTTAGGGTTTCACGGGGGGTGGGGGTTGGGGGGGGGGGGTAGTTCCGTTTGAGGGTACTGGACATGGTTCCCATGAACACGGCTAACCATTCTGTGGTTCCAGGGTCCCTGAAACTCAGTGTCAACTCCATGCCTTGGGGGCAAGGGACTGTGTTCATTCCACAACACACGCTTTGCGGTAGCAGACAAAGCAGGAGATGATTTCCTCCCAGGGCCGTGTTTTGCTAAGCCACATTGCCGCCAAGGCATCTACATGGCCTTTGGTCCCAGCAGCGTCTCCACATCCCAACTTTGCCATACGTCTCAAAGTCTTTTTCAAGACATTGGCCATGCTTTCGCTGGTCTCCACCAACAAAAGTCATCTTGCGAGCAGTCGAGCTGGCGCCTGCCTTGTTTTTCTTCTTGGCCACCATCATCTGTTGCACGCATCGAGGCACCCACTTGCGATCCAAGCGCACCAGCGGTGTATACTCCGACAGGCTATGCCTGGCTGTTGCTGAGCTGAGGCCATTGGCTGCGCAAGCGCCCAACAGCCCACGGGATGAGTCTGACCCAATCATGAATGCTTCTTGGCGCTAGCATACTTGCCGATGATGTCTTTGGTTTCATTGACAGTCTCAGGTGGCCCTGGGGCATTGCCAGCGGTGACCTGGAATGGCGACTCTCCGTTTGGTTTGCCTGTGCGCGAAGAGAAGCAGTCTGCCTCCGCGCACACGCACTTTCGGCTTTGGCTGCTTCCCAGTCTTTTTTTGCTTCTCAGCCCACTTCTTCACCTTGGTCTTGGCGGCTGCCGTCAGAAGCCGTTTGTCATACACCTTCTTCTTGGAAGACGTGGCGGTGGTGTCGACTTCCAAGATGCCCTCGGCAAATGATTCAGAAGCCTGCCCCAGCATTGGATCGCCGCGTCAGTTCGCAGACTGAGGCTGTAGCATGCCCGAATAAAGCCCTGTGCGTCGAGCGGCTGCCCTGCCCGGCTGAGATTCGCAAATGGTGCGCGCACCAGATCCCAGCGGTGCAGGCGCGGGTTGTTCTGCTCGCAAGAAAAAGAGCCAGTGCTGCGTAACACGGACTTTGTCCGCTGTGGCCCTCATGGCGCCCTCGCAAGACCAACATTTTCTGCCTGTCTTCTGCCCAATCATGTGTTTTTGCTTGAGGAAGCTCATGCACTTCTGCTCGCTCCAAGCTCTGATTTCGGGGTATGGCGCCTGCTTTAACTCTCGTAGACCAAGCCTCTTTGAGGCCGCTTTTCCGAACTGCAGCGTAGGTCAAATTGGCTTTGTGGAACGCGCTGTTGGTGCCGCCCTTGCGCGCTACTGTGCGAGACGTCGGCTTGAGACGCCCATTTGGGTACCTACCTCTCTCCTTACTTAACTTGGTTTTCATCCTGAGCCCGAGCTGTGGTGCAAACGAAAGTTGCAACATCTGAGACCCTTAGGTGCTACTGCTACATGCGGCTGATGCTACTGCTACATGCTACTGACCCTTTTCCTTGGAAGTACGTGTCAGCGCCTCGTTTGAGGGCCGTTCAACAAGGACCATTTCAAATCTGCTCGCAAGCGCTTCTGGTTGCGAGTCAATGACTTGAGCATGTTCATCTCTGGCGCGGGATACTTCTTGAACCAGCAGCAAGGACAATTCCTGGAGTTGCGCTCCCAGAAGCGAGAGCACCGCAAAATGATACTGCCTGCATCCACGCCCTTCTTGGCCACATGCGGTCTCAGCGGCTTCTGGTGCGCTGGGCAAGTGCCATATTTGTGCGCCCTGCGACGGGAATGTGCTCCAGGTGCCGCCTGCGAGGCGGGACTGGAAGCTTCTGGAACTCCATCTCATCATCCGCAGGCGCGTCTGGAAAACTGATGTGGCCACCCGCTGCCCGGGTAAGGTGAAAGCTGCCTGAAAACTCTTCCTGCGAAACTGCCGCCGCGGGCTGTGCAAAGCCCGGTGCTGTTGTGAAGTCAGTTTGCCGTGCAACAGAGGAAAAAGAACCAGCAACTGTGCGTCTCATCGGCAATACTGGGGTTGCCTGTACTGCTTGCAAACCGGGCTCAAAAATGCTCTTTGCTGAGGAGTTGCTTGTTGCCAGACTGAAGACCAAAAAGCAAAAAGCTCAGGCGCAGCGTGTTCGACTGCAGTCCAAGTCACCCAAGACCTGAATGATATGAGCGCCGTTTCTATCACAAACTGCCCAAAAGGATCTGTCGCCGCATTGCTCAAGCCCAGTATATAATCGTCCAAAGTGAGAAGGTTGACTTCAAACAAAACCTCCAAGCACCGAGGACATGGCACTCTTACCAACCTCAGTAGCACCACTATACTTAAAGCTAAAGAAACGCCCCTTGACTCCATTTGGCTGCATGTACATGTCTGCGTCTCCCCCCTGATACCCTCATACTCTGCGCCTCGACACATGACACAACGCAACATCAAAGCCTCCCTGCGTCCGGCCAAAACGCTAAACAAATGCCCCGGTTGACAAAACACGGCAAACCATGGCCGTATACCCAAAATGTTGTATATATATATTATATCAAATATTATATATACGCATATATCAGGTGGAGAACACCAATTGGTATATAGGAAACATACTGGGGAACAACAAGGGGAACCCCCTGTCTATGAAGAAACAACGGTTCGGTGGACTAAACAGCGGCAGCTATCTTTCTCCGCAGTACTGAGGTGCACTTCAACAGTGCACCTGCCAGTTGACGGGTGTGTGTGTGTGTGCACACTGCACTGCCAAGCGGGTGCTCTTGAGCGGGCCGGCAGGCTTGCGAGCACTACGCGGATGCTCAAGCGGGCGTGCTGACCATTTGGCAGGCGCGCGCAGTGAGCTTGGCTCGCCAGCCTTTTTCTGTCTCCAATTTCCCGTGATACCAGGCCCCAGGCCTCTGCAGATCTGGCAGGAAAATTGGCGAATGTGCAAAGCTTCCTTCCGTACCTAGAAACCATTTGTCCAAAGTGCTTCCTTCACATGTCTTAATTGGTTTTTTCCTTTCAACTCCCCCTCGCAAACCATATCAGGTTCAGCACGTCGCACGCGTGAAAGGGCACTATCCGAGCGCGTTGTGGTGTCCGTGTTCCCTATTGACAAGTGACAAATATGACGTGTGCTCCTCAATATTTGGCTTGGAAGCCTTGTTTCCTTGTCAATGTTTAATCAAGAAGGATCATTCTGAAGTGTGCCTTCAGGTTCTGATGCCGGAGCGCGTATGATTCATGATTAAGATTTTTGTTCCAAAAAGATCATTTGAGTCCATGTTCTTACAATTCCGCATCAGACATCACGAGAAAGGCATACAGGTGCCACAACAATAATAGATTTGTCTCTTCAATGTCTTGTTCAATCCTGATCATTCTGATGCGTGTCTATCCACCTCGGGAGGGTGCAATGATTGAATTTCACATGTTCAATTAATCATTTGAATGATGTGTCTTCCAACTCCTCCTCAGAAATTGCCAAACCAAATAAGAGGTCACAAATAGAAACCATTGTTTGGGAGCATGTTGTTTAGATTTACTATGCCAAAAGTATATTTCATGATGGCTAATCCTCTCTATCCATGAAACCATGACTTGTTGCAAGTTAGTTGTCAATCATGTACTATTCCCAACATGTTAAGGTTCAACATCCAACCCAATAGCTTCTGATGAATATTTCGATATCTGTCTCAAGATATTGTTAATGTGAATTTCCGGCTCAAGCAAATTCCTGAATTGATCTCGAGAACTGCTGACTAACCACCAGCCTCTGCTTTCTTCAAGCACTTGCCGCCACATGTCAAGACAGTTCTTAACAGGTTGTTTTGTGCCAATGACTTTGCCAACCTCAGGGTTTTTCGCACTTGGGTTGGAGAGGAATCGCATGTTTTGTAATCCTAGTTAGCCACTTTGCGAGTACGGGGTCTTCGAAACATAGCGAGTGAAAGTTACCCATCCCGTTTTGGGGGACCCTCGTGTTTGGCGGGTTTAGAGGGAAACCAAAAGGAAAACCACCACTTTGGGTCCCCTATGTTGAAACCCCGCTTAAAAAAGACAATGGTGGAACAATCGCAAATTGTGGCCTGTCTAACGGTTAGATTCAACTTCCCGACCTTTCCCTGGGCTTTCCATTTGCTTTCTTGAGCCCCTGGAACAAAAATTGGGAGAATCTTTCCAGTAGTGAGAAGTCACCTTTAAAACCACCAATGAAAACAAAACAAATATTCACTTCGGCAAATGGTTGGTCGGGGAAACCAATCCTCCGCCTATTTGAAGCCCAGGTGCAAGTGGGCCTGCAGCAGCCTTCGCAGCACCTCCGGGGTCTCCCAGATGTCCTTGGCAAAGCAACCCTAGGTCTCTCCCTACAGATTTGGGGTAGGATTTATATTATATCCACCAATTAATAGTCGGAACCTGACGTTCGGGAGTCCCTTTAAAAGGAAAATGGTCCAAACCAGGACCCCCAAAAGAACGTCAGGTTCCGGCTGTGAAAAGAGTGGGAGCGTATGGGCACCGACCTGCCATGTGGAGAGATATGGTCGTTGATGCCAAGAAGTGTTCAATCACCCCAGCTCTCAATGCTTAGGCCAAACGGTCTCAGACTCTGAGAGTTTCTCTCAGATCAGGGGCCTATAGGCCTGGGATTGATCGATCTTTCCGACGAGTTTGAGATGAGCTAAGATGTTCTCAAGACAAGAGGCTCCCTTTTCACCTGGGTGTTACCAGGCTCGCTTTTAAAGGACCTGGAGATAAGAGTTCAAGACTTGGGAACCTTGTCGAACGAGCCAAGAGGGCAAACTCAAGAGGTTAGATCCAATCGCTTTCTGAGCTCATGGTCCCATTGACACAGACTCAATTGTGCAATCTCACCCCGGATTCATGGAGAATACCCCGAAAAAGGGCACCCTAGACTGGGCTGTGTTTCAGCTCCCCGTTAAAAGTCTAACTTTTAGTGGGCTAAATGGAAACCACTAAAGCAACTAGAAAGCTCAAAGCTAAGGAACTGGATGACTGGAAGCAAAGCTAAACAAATCTAAGAAACCGGACAGCTGGGAGCCACCAAGAATACCACAAATAAGAAAAAGAGGGCACCCTTAAATAGGACGACTCAAACAGTTGATGGCCCCATTGACATAGATTCAACTACGCAATCTCACACCGGGTTCATGGAGAAGACCACCAAAAACAAAGGCACCCTTCAGTGACCCTTCCGACGACTCAAAACCGCCGAATCTCCGTGAGCATTGTCTCGGATCCCACCAGGTCGAAGGCCTGCACTGGCGCTTGCATCTGCGCCTGTGCCGTCGGCATGACGGAAGGCGCCATGGCCGGAAGGAGTCGCTCGGTTCCTCGCTTCCGCCCGCCACGGAGGAAAGATGCGGAAGGACCCCCGAAAAGAAAAATGCTCGGAGTGTGGAAAGGGGTGCTTCGGGTTTGGAAGGAACTTTGGGTCTGATCCAAGGCTTTAGCGCCTTTCGGAGGCTGTGATCCAGTCTTTGCTCTGAAACGCAGCTGTGTCCTTCGCAGAACAACTTGAGCCACAAAAACTGGAGGTGGGGTCTTCCAACTCGGCGCATGTAGTTGACGGTTCTTGGGGGCGTCAAACAGCCCGCAACGACACCATGCCTTCGGCTTGGTACGTGTTTCAATAATGAGAACATTAAGCCTGAATGCACACGCTGAACCTATGTATCAGCGTGCAGTGGCAAGTCCAGGGAAAGTGAAAATGATGATTAGGCCCCATTATTATACCATGATCAAAGTCACCCCCCAAGTGGTGGGGTAAAAAGAACAACCACATTTACTGACTTTGATAACCACAAGAAACCGTTAAAATAATGGGCCCAAATAAAGGCAGTGTAAAGCAGTTCCACTTGGGCAAAATGGTTTTGGGCCGTGGAGGCCTTCTGACACGATGCAGTGAACACGTGTGACATGGTAAAGCGTCGGACGCAGAAACCTAGGCCACCCAGCTGTGCTGATATACATCCTCGGATCTGCGTAGAACTTCACCCGCGATCTGTTGGCCGCCTGCGCATACGCTTGAGCAAGAGAGAAGGAGAGAGGAAGCTGACAGTATTTTGGAACATGAGCCAGATTGCACAAACAACCACGTGGGAGTTTCTCAAATGGTGGACCCCCTTTTGGTTGGTATTTTGAGAAACTCCCAAGGGATTGCATCGATCAACCGGCACTAAGGAAAAGAATAAGGAAGCTCAAGCGGTTGACTGGAGGATTCTCCGAGCCGGCGCATGTGAGTGTTTCACACCAACTTGCAACTTGATTCTGGACACCAGGGCCCACCCACCACTGGGTGTGTCCCATCTTGGACCTCTTGTGGCATGCAATTTGGACACTTGGCATTGGGGGTCAAAATGAACCACCGTGGTTTGCAAGCCGAAACGTATCTGTATATTCCGCAGATAATGAGACCTGTCAGCATTTGCCAATCGCCTCCCGTCTGGGAGTTGTGGCCAATGTTCTACCCCGTCAGCTGACTTTTAGCTTGGAGTATGACTCCCATGCAGCCTACCATGCTGTGGCTGCAGCAAACTGGTGTTTCGGCCTCGAATGGCTTCCGTGTTTTGCAGTAGAGGAAGCTGCCCCTGACAGCAAAAATACATAGAATATATATAATATATACGGAATACCCGTCTGTGATACCTGTACTAACTGGAAAGTAGACATGTATGTTCTCGGGGAACAATATTGGCCGGTTTCAAGGGAAAATATAGGGGAATGCAGCCTAACCATTTGCAGGGTCCGGCGATGTTGCGGGGCTTTGCCATATACCAGGGTACCTTCTTCAGGCTTTGCCACTCACCGTAGGAGCATTCCCAATGGGCGTTTGGTACCAGTCCAGAAAGCTTCACTATAACCCCCTATGAAACCAAATTCTGCAAAGACAGGACCGATGACGAAGAGGAAGCAATAGAGAGCTAACTCAGGTAAGCTCAATGAGCCAAAACCTGGGGAGTGCTCCTCGAAAATTTAGTAAAACGTATCCGCTTTGCTGGTTTCATAGAAACATGCTTGGTCGAAACGCCTCGTTTTAGTCAATGATGGACGGTTTTCAATTTTGTTGTTAGAATCATTGAGGGTGATAAAGAGAACTCTGACGGTGAGTTTCGCATGGTCAGAATGCGGTGTTTGGGGCGCTGCTCAATTGGTGGCGGCTGCAAGGGTCAAATCGGCTAGCAGGCTTATCACAACTAGAGTTAGAAATGGCTACAGTTGACTGCGCACCGAGGTGGTTGCCGGTATCACGCCTACATATCTCTTGGGTAGTTCATTCCAGAAGGAAGCCTGATGTCGGACATTGTAGAGTTGGCCGGGCAAGGGTGTGACGCAGAGTGGACTCAGAATCTACCTGGGACTCTGAAAGTACAGAACCCCTTCGTGTTGGGACGTGTCAAAACTCCCTTTGTCAGTCATGGTTCCCTCAAACACAACCCCAAAGCAAACATATTTTCACCATGGTGCCTTTGGTGTGTCATGCTCTGATTGGACCCCCAGAGGCACCAGATCCCAAAACGAAACCTCGAGGCTCAAGATGCAGCTCTCCAGCATCCACGTAGGTTTTCATCAACCCACTGACCAATCTGCAACTTCTATAGTATTCAAATCCAAACCTGAAATAAGAGATGCCCAATCAAAGCACCTGCATCCTGACGTTTATCTTGTTTTCGAACTCCACTACATATGCACACCCAACGGCAAGAGATTGGCGCCAGGTAGCAGAACCCACTCAAATGGTCAAGGGGAATTGCATACTATTTTTAAGCCACCCAGGGGACAAATATGGCCAGGAAGTTCATAGAAAAACTACCTGAAAAGTGGTTGGCGGACATAAATCCCCACCTAAATCATGTCAACAAGGGTCCCTAATCACTAGGTCCTCCAGTAGAGAGGTTAGAACAAGGGTACCCTTTTTGCTGTCGTCTATTTCAGTAGGGGAAGCCTCCCCCAAAAAAGGGGGAAAAAGGGCACTACTGGGGGACCTAGATCAAAACTCATACCCATATGAGGACCCCCCGCACGTTCAACCCCCCCCCCCGTCCCGGCAGAAAAACGGCCTGTCGATGGGCGAGGCAAGCGCTGAAGGACAGCGTGGCAAAGTAGACGAACCTCAGCCCAGGTGCAGAACTATGGGTGTGTCTCCAAAAGAAAGTAAGGGACGACAAAACAATTACCCTCCCACCTGCTAACATGGAAGTGCACAGACCCCTGCAGAGAGACTACTTTCCTCTTGGACTGGGCCTTTGCACTTCCATGTTAGTTGGTGGGAGGGTACGCACATGATTCTCTTATGAGAACTGACTCACGTTTTGAAGGCCCCAAAGGTGTGAGATTGCTGAAACACACATGTTACATAAAAGGTTGGGCCAAACTTGCTCCTATCTGCTCATCGTGGCGGTCGGCACTTACATTCCCAAAACTTGATTACCGTCTGATCCCTTATGAGCCATCGGGATGCTTTTGGGTATCCTAAATGGTGTACAACTCCTGTGAAACCCAACTTAGAACACATGATTCTGGTTGGTATGTCATGGTATGCCCATTTGAGGAACGAACAATCCCATTACTGGGTGGACTCAACTGTGATTTGGAATGGGAAGCCCCAGTGCAAATCACACTGGTCAACCTTCAATCCTAAAGCTTGGATCAAATTATTATCTACCATCGTTTTAGAAGAAACATGTAACATGTTACCGAACGTTGATCCCGCATACACAGCCACCAATGGTATGCGTTGTCCTGTTCATAACAAAGAAACGATGCCAAAAGCCACCCTCCCCGAACCGTTGTGGACATGGAGCCATGTGACGCCGCCCTCTGTACATTGATAAGATGAAACTGTAAGACTTGCCCGCGCGGCGCTGTGGAAGTTCTCGGTTCAAGCGCTCTCTAGGCTGGAATTAGGACCCCGGCAAAATATATATATATATATCTTTGCCTGGTTGCAGTAGTGGAAAACAAAGGGACCCCAAAAAAGCAAAAAATCAGAAAGGGGAGCTAATTCTGGGGAAGCTCTGTGGCCACTGTCAGTCAAAAACCCGCATTTGCAAAGATCGCCCGGTCACCGCAGTTCTTGTGCAAATTGCTCCCAACTCGGGGCTGCTGAGAAATGTTCTCATGGCCCATTGCTTCATTCAAGGCGTCGCAACATACATGTTGGGCCCGCAGACCTCTGGACATGAACTGCATACACCAACCCACCTCGAAAAGGACCATACAGGACCATTGCATAGTTTACTTCCCAAATCTTTCAATGGATAATTGCATTCCTGAAGGAAACAACCAAAGGAACCTTCATGGGTCGCAAACGGAAGGTGAGGTTCACAAACAAAAAAAACACATGGGCTATACGTGGCACCCTGACCAAACAACAGAGTGAGGTTCCGGCAGCAGCAAGCACATGACCACCAGGTCCTGCATCTTCATACGCCGGATGAGATCCTCGCCGGGTAGCAGCTTCGCCGTCCGTTTGGCAGACCGGGGGTAGCGGCTTCCCAGACCTGTGGCACTCTGAGTGAATTCAAAAGAAATGAAAAAAGCCCCTGTTGCATCCCCAACAGCCCCGGAACCCCCCTCTGGAACCCTCCCTGAAAGCTGCCCCAAACCACCCCGAACGAGCCTATCCGGGCCTATTGACCCCATAGCATCCAGCTGTTGGTTGTGAAACACAAACATTTATCACCCTCCACTTGCTTGAGTCCCCCTGGGAAAACACATATTTCCAGTAGTGAAATCGATTTACAACCAACAGGGGAAGTCAGAAATACGCATTTGAGCAGTCCGATGGCAAACCTAAAATATTTCCAGTAGTGAAATCGATTCCCTTTGCAACCAACAGGGGAACCTAGATCGTTCTGTCCCGGTCGAAGTTGATGCTGCCCGTGTTGCCCACCGACGCACCGATGCCCCCAGCCACCGCCATAAGCAGCCTGGCATCCAGCGTTATTATGCGCCACTCGGCCGGAGCTATGGGTGTCTCAAAATAAGAAAACCCGCCCCCCCCCCCCCAAATGCGTGGTCAAATGTGTGGGTCTCCTTCGGGTTTCCCTTCAAGACAACCCTGCTAGATGGGCACCCAGAAAACATCCCCATATTCCGCATATTCCGAAAGCCACAATTCACCTGGAACACCTGGGGAATTTTGTGGATCGGTCCAAAACTACTCTGCACACTGTGGCTGGTCTTGTACTCGAGACAGCTTGCTGACCATACGTTCTGACATCCTCCGGGGTTGTCTTAAAATTAGGGGCGGGCGCTGCAATGGTCCGGCTCCTGTTGCTTCTTTTGAACAAAAAGCCCGAAGACGTGTTTCACCTAACATGGGGTTTTACCAACTACGAACCTTTTTCTCCCCAATGACTAAATCTAGCTCTCCAAAACCCAATTCTCACAGGCATATACCCCACATATACTATACCCTATTACCCCAAGTACCCAGATACCCCATATACCCCAGAAACCTATATACTCCAAATACTCTCATTTAGGCCCCAGCACATACCCATGTTCCCCACAACCCACAACGGGACTCGAATTCCATGCCAAGGCTGCGGTTGGTCGGCCACCGGGGCCAAAATCCCGCTGTCGTTGCTGGGGATATCGCTTTCCAGCTCCTGGCACGGACACGACCCGCGAAAAAACCAGTGGGTGCGAGTGGGTGTAACTCAAAATAGGGGACCCCCAAAATGAGTGGAACTGTCCGTTGTGTTGTCTTGCTTTTGTCCCAACCCCGAAAAGGGGCCCTCTGCAAAATACACACGCAAATCTGAGCGGTACTGCCCCTGTGGATGACCCTCATACGGCCCAGCCTTCGATATGAGTGGTTTTGAGAATGATAAGTGGGGGGTCGGGCCTGCGGTTTCGATTAAGCCCGTGTCGCCAATTTTGAGCTAGTTGGAGACAAACCCAAAATGAAGTGAACAAATCATGAACCCTAGATGCTGTTTGTAGGGGAATGCGTTCTCTTGTTTAACCATCCATTCTAACGAACAATGTCCAAACCCGAAGCTTGCCGGGCGCTGGACATCCGGCAAAGTGTGTTTCTTTGCTACCAGTTTTTGAGGCGCCCGATGAGACAACCCGAAAAAGAGCTGATGTCGTGTCTTAGTCACTTCCTGACTGGGTTCAGCAAAGTATTTGTCCTCTGATTTTTCTCCAAAGTTTCACTTCCATTTGCAGTAGAGCCCCCTGGGAAAAATGAGAAACTATTACCAGTAGTGATAAATTCCCTTTCCAACCATCAAGAGAAAGTCTGTCCAAGGAAGAAGAACAGAAACGGCATGTCAGCAAATGGAAGTTTCAAGTTCACTCCAAGCGACAAGAACAAAATGATGGAGTTCACCTTCCCCACTCCTCTTCCAATATCCTGAGCTGCCTGCGCTGCTCGGCCTCAGCGAGTGAGCGAGTGAGCGCCTTTTCAGCGAACGACCGGACCAACATTGGAAAACCAAACCCAGTGGATCCATTTACCTGGTAAACGTACATAACAAAGGGAACCACCGATATAAAACCAAACGGAAAATAGCTGGCTACCTACTACAAGGATAACTGGGATCCACTGGGAAATGGTTTGAAGAAAGGTGGCTGGATCACCTGAACAACCAATTTTGGGATCACCTGAGCACGCAATGATTCTAGGATCCTTGGATAAAGGCAGGCATCTTCGGGCATCTTTGATATGACAAAGGGTTCTTATGTTCTCCTCATCACCCTAAGGAAACTCAAAAAACTTGGCCCAAGTCCTGAAACCAATGGGAGACTCGTGGAATCCATGGGTTTGGTCGGTGAATCCCAGCACCCAAACTCATTGCCGATGCTCTCCTTTTCCTAAGCAAAACCTGACCAACTCTGCACCAACAAATAACAGGACTGCAGCTCACCTGAGTAGTAATCAGGGGGCCTGAAAAAGCACATCCACATCCTAGTGCATTGCTTCCGGCAGTTTCTTTTCGGCGTCACGAGATAAGCATGGCGAACAAAACGCATCTGCCAGAAATGACCCTCCTTTTCATCTTAAGCAAGTGGGATTGAAACAAGGCTGACTTCAAGTTGGTGTGTCTTGGGTGCCCTTGTTGTGCTTCACAACCACGGGAAACCACTCCAAAAGGGCCCTCCCCGATATGTGAGACAACCCCGCAAACAGAAAAGGCAACTACCATGGTCCGCTAAATGGTAAAACGCCTGGCTACAAGGGACAACTAAGCACTCAGCGAATCCTCCCAAACCATCTAAGCAAGGGGGCCGCACGATCAACAAACCCCTCGTTGATTGGTAGCCCCTCCTCATAAGGGATCCGCAAAAGAAAATCTAGAGTGCGTCGGCATTGGGGGTAAACACATCTTAGGTATGAACTGGCCCAAAGAAATGTGTCACACGCTGCAATGAACATCTCCTAAAGTTTTGGCCAAGGAGAAGCCCTTAGTAAGCCTTATTATAAGTTAATCATAATGGGTACCCCCCCCCCATCCCCATAGCCCCCTTAGGGGTCCATGATTTGTTAATCCAGGTCGACCGGTGAATCTTCCGAGGCCGGCGCTGTGAGCTTCCAATACCTGCGCGTTGGTGCTGGACTCGCTGAATGCGGATAAAAGCCTTTTGAACCCATGCACCGATGGGACAAATCCATGGTGCACAACAGGGGCCCAACCAACACCTGCCTTTGGCATGACTAAGCCCCTATTGCTGAAAGACCGTCCTGTGAGTTTCCCTTTAAGGGAACCGGGGGGGGGGGTGGTGGTTAATCAAATTGTGCCAAACCCTGGTGTATAATCCCTCTCTTCACTCTCCAGACCAGCGTGGAATCCAAAGAAACCCTTTTCCTCACTTCCTTCAGGAGTGGACTGGCCCAAAAAAGTGCCACTAAAACGGTCTTCTCACGAAGTTCAAAGTCCGTGACCTCAGGGAGTGAGTTTCTGAGAGGACTCCCCCAATAGGTGTCAAGGAAAACCGCCAGGGGAATCAACTTTCGGCAAGCTCGTAGGCAAACACTCAAAGAGTTCATCCCAAGACCATCCAAAGGCAAAAACGTGGCTTGGCCGGCCGTGATTCGCTTTAAAATGGGGCTATAAACCCGAAAACTGGGGTTTACTGGGGCTATGCATAACCAAACAAAGGTGACCAAAAGGAAAGCAAGTCAAAGTTCTACCCTGGAGGGTGTAACTTTGACTACGTAGCTCGGATCAACCCCGATTCATGTTTCTCAAGTTGTCTACGGTTTCTCTCTTTCCAACTCGTATTACGGCAAGAAAAGACATTCAACCACCAGCACCTGCTAAAATTACGATCAGAACCCTCAAAACAAAACAACTTCACAGTATAAAGCAAACAGGTCACACCCAAAAACGCCTGTCAGATTCCATCTGTAAGCAGTGGCCGCCCCAGTCCGACTCATCCTGCCTGCTCGCTGTCTTCTCGGGAGGAGTGTACTCGTCCTCCACCTGTCATGGCCACAGCTCTTTAGGAAGCCATTCACGGCCAGAATCAATCCTTCAATTTTATTCTGCCCCCTGAAACAAATCACAATATGTCCAGTAGTGATAATTAGATTCCCTTTAAAACCAACAGGGAACAAAACAAAAAAACATTCCTAAGCAAATGGAAGAATCCGATAGCTCAGCATGATGCCGTATAGCAAGGATCCCGTTTCACCCTTCTCGCGCTCCTTCGTGATCGCATGAACCACTGGTATGAAGAGAAGTCGACCCAGCCATAGAAAAGATGTCAACACATCGGGGCGTGGAGCATCGGGAAACCAGTCCTGCGCGATTTGGTGGGCACAAACCCCCATGGACATGATGTGGGTGTGTATTTTAATAGAGGACGCTGTGGTGCACATCATTTAGGTGGGGATTCATGCCCGCCAATCACGTTTCAGTAGGGACACCCACAACACTGGGCTGGGGTCCCTTCCTCGTTCCGTGTGTGGGTGTGTGTGCTTTTTTTGTGGGGGGGGGGCAGCATTTTACGTCCTCCTCCTGGCCGCATGGCCGCTGACCCTTTGAGGGCCCCGCAGGGGCCCCGGTGACCAAGTCCCATCTCTGCCCGGAGGTTTTGCTGCCTCAGGCCGAAGCGAGCGAACGAAACCACCGACTTCCGAGCGAACTTGGGTTGCAGGGGAAGGGTGCTGAGGGAGCTGGGTGTCCGTTTTTTCCTGGTCCCGGGGAATCGTTCCTGACACACAGCAAGTACAGCAAGCAAGCAGGCAAGCAGGCAAGAAGGCAAGCAACAACCAGCTGTTCATTGTGAGAAAAACAAGTTGCCCCCTGTTTGCTCGCCAACTATATATGGGATGAACCCACATGTCGAGAGCTGGTGACGAGGCTTTCCCAAACATGGGAGTGTTGAAGTATCAATCTTATTGCTGCTGTTCTCCTGCAAATGAACCTGGAACCCCGCAGAAGCGTAGAACAATATCCCGGCATCCCCCTTTGATCGCTTTGTAGGATCCATGTCTGGTGGGAAGTTAAGATGCCAAGCTGGGCACTGCCGCATTGCATCTCCATGGCTTCAGGGCAGTTTCAAGAATCACACGCCATGCGGCCCACATCACTGGCTGTGACAACGCCGTGTTTCTGATGGCCACTTTTTGAGCGATCCTGTTTCAAGAATCGAAGGCTAGCGCAAGTGTAGTGTGTGAGGTACACTTCGTCAGAAAACGTGAGGATATGAGAAACGACGTGCGACGGGCCTTTTCTGCGGGAAAAACAATCATATGCGTGATTGTGGTGCTCATTTTTGTTCAGCTAACAAGTCTGGCCTCTTTGCTACCCAACAACCTGTATTTTCCCATCTGCCAAGGCTTCTTCGCATGATCGTTGTCGTTGTCGCTGTGCAGCAAAACGAGGGCAGTTTGGGTCTCTTACTACAAAACTGCAATGCATGGGCTCCCCTGTCAGGATGTGTCCAGGACGAAACACGAAGTTCGCGGCTTGGGCATCGGATCCAGGCGTTTGATCCGTGCTCAGCTCAGTAGCGATGATACTTGAAGTGGCTGTGGCTCAAAAATAGGGCAACCCCAAAATGGCACCCTGGCAAATGGGATTTTTTGACTAAAACCTGTGTTCCCCTGGCTTAATTTCGACCCATAAGTGAGAGATTCAAGAAGCCTACTTCCAGAGTGGATCTGTTCGGAGGCCAGTTGAAATCGCCCCACAGACCAGCTCCAAGCGCGGATGCTACAGGCCTCAAGGCTTGCACCGGGGGTTCTAGCAGACAGGCACTCCCCTAGATGATGCGTCATCTCCCCTTTTCCCCCCCCCCCCAAACAAAAAAGAAATAAAATGTGGTAGCCGCAAAAACAAACAAGAAACGAATAGGCTGCCAACCCGACTCTGGGAAAAAGGAACCCATGGTTTGTAAGCTGGGTGAATTCTGTCATTTCTCAGGCCTAAAGTGGGAAATGGGCGAAAATATTGTTAAACAGTCCATTTCTACAATCAAATAACATAATAAACACAAACAAGCGGGCAATCCAATCAACAAGTCAACACGTATATGCACAATTCACGAGCATATCACCAATCTCAAGCATCACGCTGCCAGTCAACTGAGAGCTCGCACGATTGTAGTTTGCGATGGCCATCACACGACTCTCGTGCGCACCCTGGCGCTAAGGAAGCATCTGCGGGACTCAACGTTCGGCATGGCAAAGGATTTCCGAAGGACATATACATGTATGAATATATGCAAATGACTTAATTCCCAACTGTTTGGATAACGACCACCTGAAAACCGGGCTTTGGATTTCCCTCTGGCTTCAGTCAAAAGGGCTTGTCTCAATAAAGCCCGAGAGGGGACAGGTGCAAAAACAGAATACTTCTTGGAAGACGCCCAACGTGCGTGGCTCCGTAGTTTTTCAGCCTGAACAAGGGTGCCACAACAGTCCCTTGTGCTCCCTATGAATCGGCCCTCTGAAAACCATCCAAAAAAATATATATTCAACTCTATGAGGGTACTGAGATAGACACAAATTAGCAAGACTTTCATGTCGGTGTCAAAAAAAAACATAAATGCTGGCAAACGATAGCAACCGTGCGAAGGCAGAGGCAACCTTGACTGCGCATCTTTCTGCTGCGCCAACGACTCTGCCTGCATCCTGTCAAACAGAACCCTGCCGAAAGTCCGAGAAAATCCGAGTCACCCTGCGCCAGTATCCACCCATAATGTGCGAAGCAGCCTTCAACAGCAACCTGCGCAATTCTCAGTCAAACCCTCCTCACTTGAAGCTCAACACCCATGGCTGTCAGCTATCTGGCAAACAAAACCTTCACAACAAGCAACAAAAAGGTACCCTAGCTGAACGAAAAGACCCGCCACATGCCTCTGGCTCAGCCTTTGGCTTGCTGCGATAGGAAACCATGTCAAAATCTTACCCAACAGATATGTGCATAATTGTCCTTCCCCGGTATCCTTGCGATTTTGCTTGTCTGCGAGGTACATCTACCCTCCCACCAACTAACATGAAACCTGACATTCGGGGATTCCATCAAAGGGAAAAGGGTCCAAACCACCCTGAAAAGAATATGAGCTTCCATGTTCTCACTTGCCCAAAGGACCCGGAAATAAAAAAGTCAAAACAGTTCACCTCTTGTAACCTTTAACCAAAAACTGACCGAATAAGGGGAACCCAAAAGGTCAGCTTCGGTGGATACTCCTCAAGTCGACGTTTCCGGCCTCCGAGATGTGGCGCCCGAAGAGGCGTTGCATGGCCGCGCGCTGCGCGGCACGCGCGGCCGAGGCCGTCCTGAATCTGCGGGCGTAGGTTGGTGAGCAGGTGTGCGAAGATGGGTGCGTGTTTCGTAGGGGTTGTGTTTGGGGGGGAACATCTCTTTGGGTTGTAGAGAGAAACCCAAGGTCTGAAGGAGAAACCACAAGGCAAACGACCTTTCTTGGGGTCATTGAAACAAAACAAACCCATCGCCCATAGGGTAAAAGTTGATCCCAGCAATTCTTGTCTCCCATCCCTGTTTTTCAACACCCAACCAAATTGCAATGAGCTAAACCATGGATTTGATTTGCTTTGCCCTGTTTGGGTGACCCTTTTGCGAGGCGATCATTGAGGTGATGCTTTCAAGGAGGTGATGATTTCAAGGTCTTCCCGGTAGCCTGCGTTCGGGCAAGATCCTTTGAGCCACACTGAAAGCCCCCTGGCGGCATTATGATGTTGATTCATTGTGCTGAAAGTTTCAGCGCCAACCGATCCTTGTCGTGGTTGTCGTCGTTTTCATTTTCTTTGTCAAAGCAAGGTGTCAGACGTGCTTGCGTTCTATTTATGGTGCTCCTGCGCAGTCACATACATGTGTTGTTTTGGTTGTGTAAGCGCACAACATACGTATACGTGTGATTGCTTCTGTGCGTGGATTTGCCTGCGTGTTAGTCTTTCTGTTTGCCTCAGGCTCTCGGACTCGCCAATTGCACGCCCCCCACCCTCCCCCCCCCCCCCCCACCCCTCCCCAACCCTCCCACCCCCCCACCCCCCCACCCTCTCACCTCCCCCCAACGCCTCCCCCCAACCCCTCCCCCCCTGCGGAAGGGTTTGACCCCAGCTGGTTCCGCGTTTACACAGTCAGAGTGTTGGGGAAAGGGGTTTGCCAAACGCGGGCATGTGCTCAAAATTGTCGTGCATGCATTCCTCACATGCTACCTTTCGTTCACCCCGTTCTGAAGTTTACTTGACGATTCTTTGGTCTTTGTTTTGTCTATGTGTGTCTCCGTTGTTGCTCGGGCGTAATGAAGATCTGTCGCTTGTTCCCTTTCTTTAGAGTAGATAATGAAGGTACTTCGCTGAATCCGGAGGACCGTGCTTACAGGAGCTATCAATGGATGCTCCCCAACAAATCAATGTGGAACCCAAAAAGGACATCCCGGACCCACAAGCAGATTCTTCTAAATATGGCTTTTGGGTCCTATCTTCAATTTATGTGATGGGCTGACAATATTGCCACAGTAAATCGCGAGAAGACTACCCGAGACCGATACGCACAACCTGTCAAAGAGATACGACATTGACTACCCAAAACCGATATTCTGATACTTGTGTAAGTTGTGGTGACAGTTCGAAAGAGTTTGAAACGCGAATGCCAACCAGCCACGCCACAAGCACACCCATATAACATTGGAGCAAACCTTCCCTAAGAAAAGAAGCAGATTTGACTTGGCGTGGGCTCTTTTGCCGAGGCTTCTGGTTCACAGTGTAATACACATGGAGCGAACGCCCCATGTTACCAATGCTCCCGTGTGAAAAAACTGTCAGGTTTCAATTCTTGTGGCTGGGCATGCTAGGCTGCGGATTGAGAGGCACCTCGCAGCTAGTCACTTAATCAGCTAGGTGCCACGAAGCTAGTCAGGGGGGGTGCCACGCAAGATAAACTAACGCTAACCAATTCATCGAGACATCTAGGGGTGACTTCCCGTTCTTAGGGATCCTTCTTTCTAGAAAACCACCAAAAACCTTGCAGAAATGGCGATCGGTTTTTGAAAAGAACGATGGCTGAAAAAAGTTGGGAATCAGGGAATCAACCCCCAGCAACTTCAGAGCAACCCTGGGTCAAAAATGCATATATGCTGCAAGGGTCTGCAGCATCAGGAAGCTAGCCATCTCCTAGCATGTGCGTGTACACTGTGAGTTCCCCCGCGTCTACCCCTGCCGAAATACATTTCTGTACATATGTACATACGTATATACCTGCGCTTTCCCAGAAATAAGAGACCGGGAAAGATGTTCCGGAAAACAGGCTGGGCCGTGTTGTACCGTCTTGAAATTGGGCTCCTCAAGCAAAAACGCCGCCGTTCATTTTGTCACCAACCTCCCCCCACCCCCGCAGCAAGTGCCCCGGGAAAAAAATCCGCAAATGCGCCAAGGTGCCCAGAGTGTGCGCCACTCGCGGACTGGGCGGTTTGCTTGGAAGCCTAGGCAAGAGCAGACTTCGACCTATCCTATGGACCCAAGATACGCTCTTTTCGGAATTATAAGGGCCATGAGTACT